GGAGAACAAGAAAGGGGAGATCTACAAACTCATGTCGGATGTGCAAAAGGAGAGGATGGATTGGGACCGAAAGAGTGCAGAGAAGAAGCTGGAAATTGAGAGGGAGAAGATCGAGTTGGAGAAGCAAGAGGCAGTGATCAAATAGGAGCTCGAGAAGGCCAAGACATTTGGAGAGATTGAGCTTGAGAAGGAGAGATTGCAACTCGCATGGGAGGCGGAGGATGCGAAGATCATGTTGGCGGACGAAACCCTCTTGGATGAGCATGCAAAGAAGTGGCTTGCGGAGAATAAGAAGGAGATCAACAAGCATAGGGAGTACGAGACAGCGAGGGCGGTTGCGGCAGCAGCGGAGCATGCGGCAAGGATGCAGGCGGAGCAGGAGGCAAGGATGGCCTCGGAGCAGGCGGCATGGACGGCATCTGGCCAGTGATCCAGCCAACAAGCGAGGCATCCGTCACACGCTCGGACATTTATTTCATTTTGGCTTTGAACTATGATTTGCTTTGCTTTGTTTCCAACTGTTGAATTCAAACAATTTGTATCATATGATTGACGTACATAGATTGCATGGATTTGAGAATCCGCATTTAAAATATGTGGATGTGTGGCACAAAATATAAGGGGCCGGCGGGCGCTATCCACGGACGCGCCCGCGGCTTATAGGGGGCTGGATTTTCCAAGTCCGCAATGGAACGAGGTGTCTGTCACTTATGTGTTGAGGTCAAATTTGTTGAACAGTCATTTTTACGCACTCTTGGAGAGGACAAACACATATTATGGATCTATTTTCTTCATCATTGGATCCATAGCAGATTATCATAGGAAGAGATGTGTTTTGTTGGAACTTGCACTTCTTTGATGCATTCAGTGTTAACTCCATGTATTCAATCTCGTGGATATTGGTCCGATCTTCCAAAAAGTCATATTTGAAGGATTAAAGTTCCACTTAACTAGCCACGGATGATCTCTTTGGTGCTTGCAGTTCTAGCATACGAAAAGTAGTTCAAAATATCGCCTTCGTGTGCAATACAATTTATTTGCGTCCCATAGACGTTAATGTGTCGAGGCACTGTATTTCTGTTGGCATGCACACATGGCGTGACAGCGTGATGTGGAGAGCGGGACAGACCGGCTCACACAAGTATGCGTCTCTGTGACCATTAGGTCCCACATGTCAGTAAACATGATAAAGTGATAATTGCATGAAAAATGGTAGCCTAAGCAGGTTAAACCATGCGTCTCTGTGACCATGCTAACCAATATAGGCCTTATCTAGTCTAACCCGCGTGCTTGCGGTGCTAAAATGGGTTGCAGTTAGTGCGGGCCACTTTCCCCATGTTAGTTTTTTCTTTTCCAAATTATACAAAATATGCAAATTTTAATCACAATAATAATCAGAATTATAACATACGTGTGTTATAAAAAATATACATATAAATAGATTAACTTGCTTTAAAAAATGTTCATCTAATTTATAATATTCATGTAATTAAAATATTACTTGTGAATTATGAAAATGTGTGTATGTTTTTTAAATCAAATATTTAATGAAATATCAATATAATTATAAAATGTTTACATATATTGAAATAACTTCTCTAATTTTTAAATTTTATGTTCTGAAGAAAATATCATGCACTATATAAAGCATTCATGCTTTTAGAAAATGTTTATGCAGTTTAAAAAAGTGTCAACATGTTTTAGTAAAGTTTGTGTGTACGCCAAAAGATATATTTTAATAAATTAAATAGAAAAATAAGAATGAAAAAAATATTAAGAGCCTGGTGTGGCCTAGACTATAGATCCACAAATGAACATGTTTTTAATTATATATACATTTTAAAGGTCATTTTTTTAATTATGAGAATATATTTTAAATAATACGTTAATATTTTTAAAATTACATGAGCATTTTTTAAAGAGTAAGTTATTTTTGTATGCAGATTATTTATAACACGAGAATATTCTAACTTCGCTTTTATTACTATGATACATATCTTTTACAAATTTCTAGAGATAAAAAAAACTAACACATGGAAATATGGGCCACACTGAATGCAGCCCATTTAAACCCTGATGAGTGTGTTCCATTAAAGATTTTTTTTTTCATTTTGCCTGTAATTTTTCCTACTTCTAGGTTTGAGCATTGTAATAGAGAAGCAAGTAAAGTTGCTCACGAATTTGCTAGCTCGGCTAGATTTTTGCTGATTTCTAATTGGTTTGAGGAGCCCTTAAATGAAATTCTACCAATTATCATAAATGATGTAATTGTTATTTCAAATGAATAAAGTTTTAAAAATAATCAAAAATATATATACTTTTGTGTTGTACACTGACATGTGAATCCCAACGGTCATATAGACACATACTATGCAAAACCAGCCTGTCACGCCACTGCAAGTGGGCCCCATTCCACGCTGGCATGCCATATGTACACGCCAACAGAAATACGGTTGTCACGTTAGCCCAACTAACGTCTACAGACGACGAGGGCATCGTATTGGACGTGAAAGCCAAGATTTTGGATCAGTATTCCGTATTTTACAACTGCAAGCACCAAAATGACCGTATGTGGCAAGTTCAAGCACCAATGGTGCATTTACCTCTTAACATTTATTATGTGGTACTTGGATCGAGGGGTGGTCTTGAGAAAGATAACATGGCAAAGCGCAATAAGTAGGTGGCAAAACGTGTTGTTTCCACGAGAAGGATGAAATTGTGCACCATTTGTTCATTTCTAGTCCTTTTGTCACCCTTCAAACGTTCCATACACATAGCATATAATTTGCCTTCTCCAGCTAGCATCATAGATTTGTTTGAAAATTCATTGAATGAGGTAGATCACAAACTGAAAGCTCGTATGTTGATAGAAGTTTGCGCTTTTCTGTTGACAACAAGAAATTGTCGGAACGATTGCATTTTTAAAAGGTCAATACTTCCAAGGTTCTCACAGGAAATCGTTTGAGCTACATGATGGATCTATATGTGGTTGCCACTTCATCTTACGGAGGTCCGGACTTCCTTGGTTACTAGGTGCTGCCTACGTGAGATGGTCGCTCGGTTTTATCCAGCTAGTGATAATGTTCTACTAATAGGATATGTGTTTACGGTTTAAAAATAAATAGGATATGTGTTTGAGCCATGTATTTTTTTGGATTGACCAATTGTATTTGTAGATTGTTGTCCCTTTGGCTATAACCATTGGGATTGATGCTTGATAGTCTCAAGTGTATCTATATTATTTTTTATGTTCATACTACTTTCATATCATTATGACATCATTTTGGCAACTTTGCATATTATTTTATTGAACTAACCTATTAATTCAGTTCCGAGTGTTAGTTGATGCTTTCTAATTATGTGGGCTTTGCATAAAAGCTTTTTTTTTGGACAACAAGTAAAACTAAAAAGATACGGCGTGAACATTGAAGACCAGAGGGACGCGGGGAGCCACTCTTTGACACACAAAATGCTTGCGAAAAATGTCCGGCTCTTGGCACATTGGTGGCTCTACATCAACTTGAGCCAAAAAGCAATCGAGGTGGAATCAGGTTACGAAAGCAAGGTTGCATGAATGCATCTTGCCATCTTTTGCTTCTTGCTGAACTCAAGTCTGAGTATCTCACCAGATGATCTCTCTGTCTCTAAAAAAGGGGGGAATCAGTGATTGTTGCTGAAACCACAGGCCCACGAGACACATGATCTGTGCCTCTATCCTCCCCCCTCATTTCGCTTCGTTTCTAGCTGGTCCATGGACCTGACCGGGGCCAAGCTAGCTGAATGCCATGTTCCGATCTCACTTTTTCCGTTCCCCTCCATGCGCCCGTCATCGTCAAGGCCACAGTGCACGTACGTACACTCTGTTAATTATAGGCACGTAGACGTAGACAGCATTTCAGTACCCTTTGCGTGTGACACAGGACGGGCAGTTTGCACCACGAAATCCTGGAGAGGCAAGCACGCACGTTGCCCAGGCATCCGGGTTCGGCCGGAATCGCCATCGGCGCGACTGCGCTGAAGCAGCGTGCTCTTGTGCGGCGTGACGCTGACAGGGACGGCGCGTGCTTGATCCTTTGCTGCCGGTCACGTTTGCGTGAGCCCTGAGACGATACGATACGACAGCCTACGCGTCAGGACATGCGGCTCCCATTTGGTACTATCCGCCATAGAAAAGTAGCAACTCAACTGGTTTCGAATTGAACAAGTTCCCTTCAAACAACTTGTGGTACATACTCCTATGGATTTCCATATATAGCCTAGTTATCAGTGGCTTGATTATGTATTTCTAAAGGGAGGCAAAGCAGCCTGTCAGTATTAATTGAACATGTTTAGATGGCACAGCAGGAGTATGTTCTCGTGGTCGGAAATCGACCTAATTTCGTGAGCAAACTTAACGGATCCATCCCAACCACCAACCACCGGCACCATCTTTACACATGTGTCGCCAAGCTACTAATGATTTTCTCCAGATCCAAGCAGCTAGCTAGTAGTATCAGTGTATCACCAAGCTATCTATCGTAACATGAAACTCAAGCACAATCTGCACTCGAATATAGTAAAACGCCAGCCGCGCAATGTGGTGCATGATTGCAAATCTTGTCAGAACAAGAACAAAAACCGGACGATCTTGTAGTGCTAATCATAGTAGACACTAGCTCAAGATGCTTGGATAAAGAAAGACCAATGCAAGCATCACAAGTTGATTCCTTCCTTGAGGTGACAAGTGATTAACATGGCACAAAAACTAGTAAGTAGTAGCAGGATCAAACTAAACTCGCCATCATCTCAGATGAACCAAAAATTAGCAAGCCTTCCTCACTCGGTAGTATCTTTCTCAGCTCACCAGTGACCAGCCTATGTACATTGCAGGGAAGCATCTAAGTAATGAAGAGAATAAAGAACGGCACTCGAATTCACACGCCGAATCAGCAAAATGTATTTGGTTTTTGTCAAAGCCAACGCAAGAGAAGGAAAACCGGTCGGAATGTCGGGGGAATCCATCACCGGCAGCTCGAGATGTCGATCTCGATGAGGTTGTCCTCCTCCAGCTCGATCTCGATCATCCCGTACTCCTCCCCGCCGCCGCTGCCGCCGTCGTCGTAGTCGTCGCTGCCGCTGCAGCTGTCCGAGTCGGAGTCCGACGTCCAGGGCAGGCCCATCTCCTCCGGCCCCCACTCCGCCTCGAACTCCTCGTGGATCACCTCCAGGGCGCGGCCCTTGGGCGCCCACGACGCGAACTCGGGCTCCAGGAACACGCTCTGGGGCTTCACCGGCGGCGGCGGGGGAGGCGGAGGCGGAGGCGGGGCGACCTCCTGGGCTCTCTCCTGCGGCGGGGAAGGAGGAGGAGCTAGGGTCGCGGCAGGTGGCGGGGAGCCGAGGCGGAGCAGGTAGACGAGGAGGAGGACGGAGGAGAGCGGGGCGGGGGAGAGGAGCAGCTGCAGGAGTGGGCGCGGGAGGTAGAGGACGGCGAGCAGGGAGGCGGCCGCGGCCGCGGCGAGGAGGGGGTGGTGGGGCCGCTGGTCGCCGGCGGGCGGCGGCGGAGGGGAGGGGGAGGCCATTTAAGGCGGGAGGAGTGTAGTAGTGGTTAAAGCCAACCCACGCACCGCCAAGTCGGTTTCTCTCTTTTTAAAGCGACAAGCAAACGAGACGAGCGAGAGCTTCCGGTTTTATTCTTGTTCCAGCCAGCGAAATCAAAACTCCTATCTTTTTTCTGCAGGTACGCACGGAACGGAAGGACGGTAGAATGTTGTGTTCAAACCGTTTTACGCTTCACTGATTGTTCGTTCGTTGTCCTACTGTCCAATTAATGGTACTATAGTAGAGTGTGTTAACTTGAACTGCGAGATTAGTGTAGGGATGACATGTGGGTCCATGTCCACATGTTGGGACAGTACTGGGGAAATTGACCAGTATCTGCTGCATTGTGCAAAGACCACGGGCAGGAAAAGGAGCGTCCGGTCAAACGGCGTGCGACTGGGCCAGCAGTAAAAAACATGATGGGCGGCAGCACGGCGCCACACGAATCGGGGCACCGGCCGGCAGCAAATGCAGATGGCTCGGCTCGGGCGAGCGGAAGGCTGCAGCATGCACGCAAAGGCGCAGAGCCACCACCTGCACTGCATTACTGCACACGAAACGGGAGGAAAAGGCAACCGGACGAGACGAAACGGGAAGAAAAAGGCAACCGGACGGGACGAAACGGGAAGCAAATCCCCCGACGGGCAGAGAGAGCTCCACCGGCCGCTGCCGGAACCAACGGAGGAAAGCTGACGGGCCTCCGTGGCCTTTTCGATGGAGATCCTCCCGTATCCGTCACCCGTCGGCCGTCGGGCAGTCGCAGGTCACAAGCATCTTCCCTGCATGTTAACGTGTCGGGGCGCGCCATTTTTCTTTTGTTTGCGCCGCGGGGCAACTTGTCTTCCACTTGAAGTCTTGCCAACGGGGGAGGAGCAGGGGTGGCCCAGATATGGGCACATCCTTCCGGGCACGTCTACAGGCCGGCCATGGGGACTCGCTGTACGGTACGGTGCCAGGAGGCTCAGGTCAGGTCGTACTGTACCGGTGTTGTGTACTCCTACCGTCCTCTGCCCCTGATCTTTCAAGGGGCGATGGGCTACTGGTGTAGGCTAAATTTCGTGTTTTGACCCTTTTCTGAAACCTATTTAAAATTTGATTCTAGTTTAAAAAAATCGAGATTTGACCCTTTTGCTATCGTTAGGGATCGTGGCGGTAGGGTATAGCTGGCCAAACGGGCCGGGCTAAACAGGTCGGCCCGCGAGCACGCCGGCACGGCCCGCCATGGGCCAGGCACGGCACGGGCTAAACGGGCCGTGCCCGGCACGCGGCACGCCTTGGG